CCCAAACCAAATTCGTTCCATTCTAATGACAAATTGTCAGTCATTTTATAAGGCCCATTTTTGTAGAAAACAAACAATTCGTTGGCATCGGGAGAATGATTGTAGAGACGGTGAGAGAACTATCATCGCCATGACAACAGAGGAAACCGAAGAACCACTTTAACCAAAACATCATTATCTCAAATCAAGGAGTTCGATCATGAAGAAACCAAATCATTGCCAACGCAAGACGCTGCCAGAGGTAGATTAAATAGTTTTTCTTTTGTAAATCCTCATCGGTTATCGGAATAAGAATCGAGGGAGAAGGAATTGATCCAGATTATCGTCTCTTCTCCATTCTTTGAGGGTAAAATATCCTTGCCTCCCAGCATGCATCCTCCAGGTAAGCATCAATATCTTGTCGTCAGTGTGCTCTATTTCTACATCAGCACAGAGAGCCATGATCCCATTAGGACTCGTGGAAGGATTGATGGGTGCTAACCCCGGAACTTGCTTCCTCGTCTTTTTCCCGACAAGGCACACTTTCAACGGAGTGGGAAAAGGCAAGAACGGGAAGAAAGAATCGCATGCAAGCAAAGAGCCGCGGCGGGAAAACAATATTGGAGCTGACCGAGAAGAAGAAGCCTCTAGATTTTGAAGAAATAAGTGGCTATTTATAGCCGGGAGAGATACTGGTGGTAGCTTGTTTTGGAAGTCAACAAGTGAGCTTGGGCTAGCTTGTAACCCAAATGTACAATTATTGGTGCCAAGGAGGAAGCTTCTTGGAGAAGCTTCAAATAACTCAAAATGTGATCTTCAAGGTGTTCGAAGTGACTCAAATAATTGTTGCAATGCTCAAGTAAGTTCATCAAAGTATGTGGTTCCAAGAAAAATCCAAATTCATTAAAAATTTGGTGAAGTCAAAGGTATTTGAACTTGGCTTAGATTTTAAAATTTGAAATGGATTAGCAAAATTATAAAAAGGATTTTATGGCCAAATTTGATTGAATCTAAGTATGAAGTATAATCAATATGGAACATCCAAAGTATAATGTGTGAATTAGAAATAAAGGACAAAATGGATGGGTGTGTGCATTTATATAGAGATTTTTAATTTTTTTATTATTTTATATTATTTATTATTTAAAAATCACGGTGTAAATGTTATTTGTAGTGCATGAAATTATATAAAAGTGGGTATCTCCTCTATGTAAAATCGTCGTTCCGAACGTGATCGTGCGGTCCGTTTCGTCATCCGGAGCACCCGGAAAAGTTCACCGACGATCGCTCCAATTTAACTCTAACTCGTGCGTGTCACAAGAAATGTAGTTATTTTGGTTCGATCAAAGCTGCTTAACAAATATATTATTGGCCAGTTCTCACATAAGCGATAACCAAAGTCAAGTAAACTGCTCGCGACAGAAAGTAAAACGTCACACACGTCATGTGGTCCATCTGTGTCTTTCAAATCCCTATGAGAACTCAACAAGAGCTTCAATATGTCAGTTTTAATTGACTCAACTGGACGTCGAGGATTAGCAACAGTCAATATGAAACTTCAAGGAGCGAAAAAATGACTTGAATTTCCAAAATATTGCGGGTCTCGGTCCAGTCCTCTAGGAGAGTCAAAATAGAAAAATTCTAAGGCTAGATCCTAGGGTATCTAAGGAAAGAGAAAGGAAGACCTCAAAAATGAGGTCAACATTGCATTGAGTCATCATCATTGCCCTTCTAATTATCTTCAAGAATCATTTGTGAAAGCATTCACATACCCTAACTATGCAAGCTGACTTAGTGAGACTAAATTTCTATTTTGACATTAAATATGTCCAACTTCATTGAGTTTTCAGGCTATTTTATTAGACAACCTGATATCTACATCACCATTTTCAACAATACTGCAAGTCTTATTATCTCCCAAATACACAGTCCCTTAGATCACACTTGAGTATCGTTTTCATACATGTCTTTGTTGGGGCACACATGAAAAGAAGTTTTTGAATCTACTATTTAAGATTCAATATTTTCTATGGATAAAACTAGGTAGTCATCTTGAATTTCATCTTTGGAGGTATTTGAAAAGAGCTTCATATCTGGACCTCCTAACATTTGGTGTTTTGCAGTTCTTCTTGAAGTAACATTTCTTCCCGCAGTGTCAACATTCACATGTCTTTTTCTCATTCTTATCTGAATTTTTCTCTCCTGGACATCAATATTTTTCTACCTTTGTTTCTGTTCATATTTCTTCATATGTTTTTATCGAGTGCAGAATTTTAAGTTTCACCGCTTGCTTCTTGTGAACTTCTTCATTCAACACTAATCTCACAGTGTACGCAAAATTTAACTTTATATTACCTGAAGAGTTGCTCACCTTAGTGACTTGTTCATCCCAACTATCCGACCATAAAGATAAAAGTAACAATGCTCTGACCTTGTTCTCGAGCTTGATGCCCAAAAACACAATTGATTTGTCACGATATTGAAATTATTCAAATGTTCGGCCACCGATCTACCATCTATCATCTTCATATTGAATAATCTCTTTATTAATTTTTTTTTTTTTTTGAAACTAATGGCTTCTATACATCTTTGTTAATGCAACCATGAGATATATTATAGTTTTCTCATTCACAATGTGGAAAGCTACATACGAGGAAAGAGAGTCGGATCAAACCTAGAGTTGTTCAAGCAAACATTTCCCATTCTTCCAAAATCATCAATTTATGTTTCTTCTTGATTCTTTCTAGTGGCAAATATTTTTTCTTTTGATACAGTAAATCTTCAATTTACATTTTCCATTACAAAGTTCGTACCATTGCTTCTTAACCTTGTACCTTGCTTCATCGGCCACCGTTCCCATTCAAATCATAGTTCTTCAGAAATCTCGCTCAGATATACTTATTATGTGGTCAAAATAATTGTGGAACGTCGTTTCAAGAGACCCCTAACAAAATACTTGAATAGAAGCCCACAAACAAGTAATTCCAAAATAAAAATGTAAATAAGATGAAGATTTAACATGAAAAAACCCAAGAATGGAGAAAAAAATCATGAAGTACACCACACCATGGCATTTAGTATGAAATGAGAGAAATGGTACATATTACAAACTAAAGCTCTCTCTACTCTCTTGGAACTCATGAATGCTCCTCTCATTTCTTTTTCGCATAAGAGAACTCGCAAATAACCAATGCCAACTCGCAACATTGTTCCACACCACTCGCGCGCACTTCTCCACAATAACACCACAGTTTCATGCCAACAAAACCATAATACTATCCCAATACTACTGTAATAACACCACAGTTCTGCGCTAACAACACCATAATACTACCCCATTACTATCGCAATAACACCGCCGCCACAACTCCCCCAAAAACACTGCTGCAACCCCACAATAATACCACGGTTCCGCGCCAATAAGACCACTATAATACCCAATACTACCGCAATAACACGGCCGTTGCAACTCCTCCAATAACACCGTTGCAAACTCGCAATAACACCACGATTCCGAGCCAACAACACTATAATACTACTCTAATACTACCACAATAACACAATTGCCGCAACTCCTCCAATAACATCGTTGTAACCACGCAATAACACCATGGTTCAATGCCAATAACACAACAATACTATCGCAATAACACAATCACAACTCCTCTAATAACACCGCCGCAACCCCGCAATAACACCACGGTTCCGTGTTAATAACACCACAATACTACCCGAATACTATCACAATAACACTGCCGCCACAACTCCAATAACCCCGCCGCAACCTACAGAAACATCACAATAATACCCCAGTACTACTGCAGTAACACCACGGTTCCACGCCAATATCACAACTACCGCAATAACACAATCACAACTCCTCTAATAACACCGCCGCAACCCCGCAATAACACCACGGTTCCGTGTTAATAACACCACAATACTACCCGAATACTATCACAATAACACTGCCGCCACAACTCCAATAACACCGCCGCAACCTACAGAAACATCACAATAATACCCCAGTACTACTGCAGTAACACCATGGTTCAATGCCAATAACACAACAATACTATCGCAATAACACAATCACAACTCCTCTAATAACACCGCCGCAACCCCGCAATAACACCACGGTTCCGTGTTAATAACACCACAATACTACCCGAATACTATCACAATAACACTGCCGCCGCAACTCCAATAACACCGCCGCAACCTACAGAAACATCACAATAATACCCCAGTACTACTGCAATAACACCACGGTTCCACGCCAATAACATCACAATACAACTCCAATACTATCGAAATAACACAAGCCAATTTCAAATACGAGCTAAATTCGAACGAGCCAAACAAGATCTACTCGACTCATTTACAGCCCTACTTCTTAGTGCACTAGTCTTTTTCCTAATGCATGATCTGAGGAGAAGTTGATGCATGTAATCTTCGACATTATGAAGAGATTATTTCTGTGACAGAAACCTGTGATCTCTTGATCATAATCGAAACTAACTGTTGATTCAGGCTCACGATTTTACAAGAATGAACGCAGAATAAAGATTCATAAAATGGATCTCAAATAATTGAGATAGGCTAATGAGGACAATGACGCAAATAATTTCTATGCCGCATCATTTATTTCCGAAGTAATCTCCTGTTAATTTTATCCACTTCCCATTGTTTCCACAAATAGCTACATTTCATATTATTGCTATGCTTTGCTTCTGAATTCATTATTTTTGTTTTGGGGCATTTACATGCATGCCAGCCAATTCTTATGTTCTCACATATCTAAACCCCACGCCTAAATTTTACTTTTTGCATTTATACCACCGAAATCTTTCATATTTCATAAAAAATTCTACTATGTTAACTTAAAAAAAATGAAATGCACTTTTTCATGCACAGATAAGTTGACATACTTGTAGAACATTCAAGTGTTAGATATATAAATACATAGAACTAATTGGTATGTATATAAATCTTTCTTTTCTTTTTTTTCTTACCTCAAGCATCCAGCTCAAATCAGAACCATGACATGCCTACTGTGGAAGATCTCATCCATGCGCTCAAGCTCGTTTCCCTCGGCGACATTATTTCTCGTTTTGAAGGGTTGGATTCCGTGCATGAGTGGTCTAGCGTGCTCTCACTCGGCGAGCAGCAGCGTCTTGCATTCGCCCGCTTATTACTCGCGAAACCCAAATTTGTTTTGCTGGATGAGTCCACAAGTGCTTTAGATGAAGCCAATGAGGTACACAATGATACTCTACCACACCAGCCTCTACATTTGTTTACATCTTCTGGTCAGCCATTTTCTAGAAGAATGAACATGCTCTTTTTAATATTACGCATGACTATCATATGAATCATCAAGCTGCAATTTCAATTTACAATTATTTACAGTCTTTGCCTTGTGGAATATAAACTCAGGCAATTTCTATATGGTATATTGACAAAATGGCAGATGATAGTACTGTAGAAGCATTATTTTAAAAAAGGGGAGGACCGAGTTGTAATATGGATAGATTATGCAAAAGAACTTAGGCACAATCATAATGAGAACAATGATGATCTTGATCGATTGCGGCATATTTTGGAGTTGCTGCGAAAACTGTTATCATACAAACCCATAGTTGTAATCTTATGAATGTGCAAAAACATTTAATTTACTAACCTCACATGATCTTGCAGGCTCACCTCTACAGCAAAATAGAAGCTGCAGGGATAACATATATCAGCATTGGACACCGCTCCACACTCCTCAAATACCATAATAAACTTCTCAACATCTCAAAATTTGATGATAACAAAATCCAGCAGAACTGGCAACTTAAGCCCATCGGCGAAGCCGCGAAACCCGAGTCCATTCCAGCATCTTAGTCTCAGAACGAACGATCAAAAACCTAAACCGGCGACGAATTTGAAATCCATTTTTACAGAACCTGATGAGTCGAATCAGGAACTATTTTATTTTGGCTGGCAATCAGAAAAGGAATTATTACTGCAGTTTTTGGTGAATTTGCAGCTGAGAATTATCACTGCATGGGCTCAAGAAAATTGCAAATTTGCGTTACGCCCAGAAAATGATGATATTTCTTCATGTGTTGATGTTATATATGGTTAGTTTTCTGAATGTTGTTTAAACATTAGATTTGTATACATAGGATTGGTTCTCTTCAACAAAGTTTAGGGTTTTTTGTTATTGTTTCTGTTGTTATTAGAACATTTAACATCACGTCGAAAGTACGATCATTATTAACTTTTTAAAAGAGAAATTCACTTTTTTTATGCATGGGTTTATGACACGAGAGTGTTGTAAATTTAAATATCAAACTCCGTGTCAGATATGCAAGTACATGTTAATTGTTTGGTATTTATGTAAATATGGATTAGTTTGGTTTGAGTTAGTATTTTTTTTGCACAATATAGGCATGTATTTTGTGCCTATAGGAAGTATCATTATGTAATTATATAAGATAAAGTTAATTGCTTTAACATATACAAAGTTGGTGGGGCGCTTACCTAAACAAACATTTATAAAAATAATGTTCAGCAATGTTCATGTATGTGTACGATTTGTATGATTTTAATATTAGCAATGCATAAGATAATGTTCATGTATATGTACATATTGACTTTTATCATAGTTTTTGAATCTTCAATGTTATATAGTTTTCAAAATGAAGATCATGTCATTGCTTGTGATTTATAATATAAAAATATGGACTAAACATTATCAATATTAATGATGATTTAATCATGCACATATATATATGATTATGTGATATGTAAAACCCATTAAACAAGTCTAATATCTTTTTTTATATATTTATGATCAAAGTCATTCAATAATTGCAAGAGATTATTAACAGTTATGTACTTGATTTTAGGGGTGATTAAATACATAATTCAAATTTCTTAATTTGATGTTGCAAATATCAAAGATTGAAGAAACATATTGGATTTTTGTAGTGATGTGTATATTTTTTAATTTAGAATTTTGAGGAGAAAGGACAAATGAATGATATGGAGAAGTGCTCTCATGAAATATCATAAAGTATGAGTAGCCATGGCAGACATTCTAGAACAAGGGAGAAGCATTTTCAAGCTGATCTAACTATCTTGAATCATCAATTTGGAATGAGGTTCAGCTATATATATATATATATATATATATATGAGGCTTCTCATGAAGGTGGAAACTGTCCGTTTGGGGTAGCTTATAAGTGCGTGATGAGGCTTCTCATGAAGGTGGAAACTAAGGGTCCGTTTGGGGTAGCTTATAAGTGCGTGCGGCGTGTTTCGTCAGCTTATCCAAAATTGCATATGGGTTTTTACACTAAACACAGGCCGCGGGTCGCCCCCGGCGGCCAGCCCGCGGGCCGCGTTTCAGGATAAGCAGCTTATCCGTCAGGATAAGCAGCTTATCCTGAAACGCACAAGCTGCCCCAAACGAAACCAGATAAGCACGTCTGTGTCCTGAGAAAATATTACATATAGCGTGTGGGCACTCAATTGACGACTATTAAGTAATATTTTTTTGTGTATGTATTTGGGTATATACATGCACACCGCACAATTCCTATGTATTTGCATACCTAGCACCTAAATTTGCTTTATTAACTACATAACAACAATTTTTTTCACATCACATCAAAATGTCAATATTTTAACTATTAAAAGGCGAAATACCTCTTTTAGTGCATGTGTAAGTTGCCATGCATGTAAAATCTAAAGTTTAGGTGATAGATATATAAATTACATAAAAGTGTAGTGGTATATATGTAAATTTTTTTTATTTTATGAAGACAACTTCATTTTTAATTCCTCTAAACTGTCCAATGACCGACTATTTCTGCCAGTTGAATAAGTTGTTCTGTGTGGACCGTATTACAGTCTGAATATGCTAATTAAAAATTTGCATTACCTTCTCTAAGGGTTCGTTTGTGGCAGCTTATTTGGTGCGTTGATTTTTTGAAAACGCACCTGAGCTGTTTGGGTAAACTGTGTTTTGGCGGCTTATGCTTTTAAATATGCTGAAAACAGCGTTTCCACACCGCACCTGTCTAGGTGCGGTGACAGCTTTCTGACTTTCTGGTTGCGGTACAGTGTTTTCACACCGCACCTGTCTAGGTGCGGTGACAGCTTTCCGACTTTCTGGTTGCGGTATGGCTTAACTTATCAACAAATTATTTAATAAGCTGCAACTACTTTAAACAGACCATAAGTGAAAGAAAATAGCTACCGCACCTAACTTATCAACAAATTATTTAATAAGCTGCAACTGCTCTAAACAGACCCTAAGTGAAAGACCATATTGTTAAAATGATCAGATAAAGGTCTAAATAATTAAAAGATTACTTCCACTCAAAATTGGCCACGTGTGTCGCCTCTTGAATTGAATGGGTTGGCTTTGGGGCCACCACCTTTAAATAATCAAAATTCTCTTTTGACAGTCAAATCATACTATATGCCTTTTAATAATAACGAATTTATCAAATGACAATGATGACTATTGTATATATTAATAGAGTAAAGAGAGCAATCAATAGTTTTTTATAATTTTATTCATAGCTTTGTTTTAGCCTATTAAATTTTATTTTCTATTAAGATTTTTGTGTTAATATTTTTCACGATATGGCTATGAAGTCGCAGAAAAGGATTAAAGATCTATTTGGGACAGATGCAGGTTATTAAAAAATAGCTGTGGAGCAGCTGAATGATAATATGATGCTCCAAAGACTGAGTTGTCAATTACAATCATTTTTTTTTAAGTCGAATCGCAGTTAAAAAGCTGCCGTCACACGTAGTCAGGAATAATGAGAAAACACATATTTCAGTACCCAAATAGTCAAAACTGCAGTTAGTTGATCTCGACATTAGCATAGACTCAAGAATAACATCTGACTTAAACATAAGTTAGCATACAAGCTTAATGTAACTCTTATGCTTGTGGCTTGTGTATGTGACATTAGGATTGGATCATGCTTGCTATATCTCACTACAATTCATGTTTGATATAAAGCTAGTATTATGACACATAGAAACAACTATATTGTATTAATGATGTGTAACAAACATATCACACAACTCTTATGTATTTACATATTTACAACCTAAAATTTGATATTTATATTTTTTCTTAGAAATCAATATTAATATCCATGGAAAATTATTAAATTTTTATTTATGTAGTATAATGTTAATTTTTTATGAATGAGAATTTAGGGAGCCTTGGATTTGAAGTCATCTCATTACACCTTTTCACTCAACATTATGTAAGAAAATTATAATATTGTAAATTTAATTTTTATAATTTATTATTATTATTATTGAACAATTCTACAAATCCTTAATCTAAACTTTTAAAACTATAAATAAAATATTTATAAAAAAATATAATAAACAATTGGGAAATTTATATATATAACACCTGAAATCATTTTATATATTTAGCACCAAACCTTATTTTTCACCAAATTTAAGCTGTCATTAGGTACTTTTTATAATAGACTGTCACTCCTATTCAGAATCCTGAAACTCTCAATGATTAAGATTATGGAAGGCTTGACCAGATCTCCCTACTAAGAGTATCAACAAGATCGACAATGTTTGAAGGTCAGCTCTCAACAATGAAGATGTGGTGAAGTCACGACAAGATCTTATTAAAGAGCAATGAGATTTCATTGAAAAAGAACATTAATAGGACCAATACTATGTGAAGGAGTAGTCCATTGTCATGAGAAGTTAATGAGAAAGTGAGGAAGTGGTACTTCTATATCATGTAAAAATTTTAGTGCTATATGAGCAAATAGTAAATTCTAAAAGTTAAATATACAAAAAGGATAGTTCTAAGTCTTATTTATGTAAATCCACCATACATAACCCTCACCAACATCAAATTTATGTATTTAACATCCAAATCTTACTATTTGTTCACATAATACTCAATTTTTTAAAAAAAATCAACAGAAAAAAATATATGCATCTCTTTAACTTTTTGTTATTACGTTTTAAATTTATGTCAAATTGAATTAACTCAACTCAAATTATAGTTTAACTGAGTCAAATCTTCAATCATACTAAGAAAATCTTAATTTGACTTAAAGCTGCCACAGTCAAACAAAGCTCGGAGAGCTCAGAGCCAAATTACAACGGCCTACACAATCAAATTACAGCAGCATTTCAACCACAACTTTATGACCCATGAGACCCTATCAGAAGAAGTCATCTCAGAATTAGGCTTCCTCCCACTAAAGCAAAATCCAAACATGCCTCATATTCTAGAATCAAATATAGAATATTTATTGGTTCATCTCTCTCACTCGCTGCCTTGTCTCTCTTTCTCTTTGAAGAGCTAGCAGAACATTTAGGCGCATATAACCTTCTTTCATTGTCCCATTTGAGATCCGTTTGAATATTATTTGCCATTAAGGTGGTAAAAACGGTAACTTTCGAATCCTTTGTTGCAATTTCTGCTGCGGTTTCAGGCTTCCTGGTTCTTTCTCTGCTACTTATCCTCTTTTCCCCCTTTTCTTCTCTTGCCGTACTCTCTTTTCATCTTAGTTTATGCTGAAAGTTTCCATTTTTTAGCATGGAAAATATCCCCTCTTGCCTTCTCTCTGGTATCCTCTAGAGTTCTTTCCATTCGAGACATCTCTGGATATTCTATGTTATTCTGTCGGCAAAGATCTTAACTTTAGGTAACAAATTGAGCTCAAAAAGAGGCTTTTGTCCCCTGGGAGCTCGCTTTCTTATGTTGGTTTTTTATGGCAGATCCCGTTTTACTTCCATGAGCTTGCTTGGCTTTTGTCTCTTATGGCAGCCAGAGTAGATTATTCATGATTTGTTGTATTGGTTCTGTACTGCTTTGATTCGGTTAAGCTGTGCTTGGGGCCGCGTGGGGCTTAAAGCTAGGGTTTTGCCGGCGATATAGGATGGGTTGGATGGAAGGAGATCTTGCTCGTTCTGCTTTCTGCGTTCTGCTTTTTCAGTTGGTGGTTTTTAAATCTGAAGGTAAGAAATTAGTGCTAAAAAAATGCTTCTTTGTTTATGTTATTTGTAAAATCTCAACCTTTGAAAGGGGAAAAAAGTTTGATGTGGTTGGAGTTGTTTTTTAAGAGAGACTATAATTTAGCATTCTATTATAAGTTTATAGTGGGTTAATTCTTCCAAGTTTTGATGATTTCAGTGATTTAGGTT